ATTTTTCCCCTTAGACTTCATTATCTTGGCCAAGTTCTTGCCACAACTGGACTTCGTCATTTTTAGGACTATGGAATAGATTCCCCTTTGATTTCCTTTCGAGTTATTCTGCATTGCTGACCATGGTCCGTCCTACCGATCCTATCGCGGATCGGGGACGTTACACTCTCACCTTTCGAGATGCATCTATTCCAATTGTACAACATCACATAAGAAAACAACAATAATAATTGATTTCAACAATACATGGACTCTAGCTGAGTCGTTCAATGGTGTTACGTAACGTTACTTACGTTATGCATTCTGTGAAACTGCTTTCGTAGCAAATCTCTTCCTTGCTCTTATGTTTCTTTGATATTTATTATATATAGGCTATGAATACTTTTTTGTTTTTTCTTTTACAAATACTATATTTTTCGGTAAATAGACCCAACATGCAACGCACATTTTACACCATTTGATCCTCTATTTAAGGTTCACTCAATTTGCACCCAAACACCTGAGCTTGGTACGCCTGCATGTACCAGAAACATCATATAGTATCCTGGAGGAGCAATCTCAGGCGTCGATGGACCCAACACATTGATTCTATACGAATTTGTTAGCCCGTCACGTGCCACAGAGAGTAGCTTTAAGATCACCATCCTCTGGTTCATCGCAAAAGAGTGGGTAGTGAAGGAAGGTGCAACTATCCTCACAGAGAGAAGATCAACAGTCAGAAACTGTGCTACAGAGAAACTTAGGTTGAACAATCCCTTGTAGTTGACCACTTTGTCGCTGGTCAATATCTTGGGTCTTATTGAGTCGGATGTGAAAGAAAGGTACGGTGGAGAATAAGCCTCGAGGCTTAATTCCGTTGGATACTCGACGTTGGTAAAGTTGTAATAAACATGAGGATTACTTCCGCCGACTAAAACCCGACCGTCCGGTAGTAAAACCGCTGAGGAATGGTACAACCTAGGTCGCGATGCGGTGGACATAACGGAGAACCGACGATCGAATAGGTGATATATCACGGGTCGGGTTAACGGGTCACGTGCGTTTTCCCACCCGGCCGTACCAGCGCCTGCACCGTTTATGATGATGACGTCACCCGTGGGTAAGAGCAGCATGTCCCCCATGACACGTGGCAACGGCATGGTTTCCATTTCCCAGCTTGGATTGGCACCGGTTAGCTTAAGCCTCCCGCACGTGGAAGTGGCACGTGCGAATCCGCGGCCGTTTTTCACACTTGAGTAGGCACCTTTAGGAGCGCCTCCACAAACCATTATCTCAGCTTCCATGTTGATATTGTTGGTTTCGTCTAATGGTAGAAGTATGGAAGAGCCACTACTTGGGTAATTCCTTGGATCACTACCTGGAATCTCTGGAAACTCTCTCACGATTCGGTTCCTTTTGTAATCAAACACAATGGATCTTGTGTTAGCGAAGACAAATAAGTTTCCGTCTGGTAGAAGATGTAGGAACGGATATAAGTTGTTCTCGTTGCTTCCATCTGTAGTTTCTCTAAGAAACTCAAATCTAGATTCTCTTGACCGAGAATCGGGTCGGGGGAAAATTTCAAAGTTGAATTGTCTTCTTCCCCCGACCACGATTATTCGTCCATCTGCTAAAATTTGGTTGGTGGCATACCATCTACGTTGGGCAAGATACTGAGGAAATTCAATCCAATCACATATTTCGCTAAAACCACAAGGTGTAAACATTCGGGCAGCGCGATCACCATCATTGTATCCACCGGTTTGAACCAATGTTCCATTGGAAAGAACCGATCCAGAAGAACACCATGTATCGGTCTGGACTTTCAAGGGCCGGTATGAGTTGGAGGCAACATCGTAGAGAATCGAGTGTGCGGAGCAATCGAACTTGACGGCGGTGTCACTAGGATCATATCGACACATTCCTCCGGGTAGAGTAATATTCGAGGTACCGAAATCCGTACGGTCGAACATTATGACCATACCGTTGTGGAGGAGTTGCATGTGCATGGCGGATATACCGATACTCGGTTGCAATACTTCCCACCGATCGAGCTGCATCAGATATGGTTGAGCTTCGGATAATATGGCTATGGAGAGGCATAAGATAGATCTTGTGACGATGAATGTTTTCTCGTAGTTGGTCATAGTGTTGCCCTTCGTTCTTGGTTTGATGGTGAATTTTAAGTTAGAGGTTGGTGTTGTCTATTTTCTTGTTGAAGAGTTTGGTTGGAGTACGTCCAATTATATATCGTAATAGTATTCTATTACACAATAATTTATTATTTTTATTAAATTGATGATCCTCTATATACTAGGTAAAAGTATATATTCGGATTTGTGATAAAATATTTTATAATATGTAAAAAAATAAAATTAGAAAAGTAAAAAACAAAACTAAATCACCCAAAAAAAAAAACAAAATAACATCGAAAACGTTGATACACAATAATTTAACAGTTACTTTTTTATCTTGATTGTTTTTCTTATTTGGTTTCTAAGTAAATTTGATCACGTCATTTCAAAATAATTATTTTTCTTATTCATGTATGAAGTAGTTTGGTTTTTACTACTTCACTACTCTATTCTTAAAAAAAATATTGAATTAATTACTCATTTTTCTATTTGAAATTTTTTAATTTTATAATCTGTAAAAAAACAAAACATGAAAAGTGCAAAACTATAGAGAAGTTTCACCGTTATTAAGTTTTTTTAACTCTTTTTTATTATATTAATTTTCATTTAAAATTTGGCACATATTTCCTGCTTTTTTTCGTGTATATCTACCCATAAATCTATTTTTCCTCAATTATGACGAACTAAATCTCATAGTTTTGGTTGCAAACTAAAACTAAAAATTTTAATAAGATTTCTTTCACATAATTGATTCCCATATTTTGCAAGAAGCGAATGATGCACAAAGTTTTAGGTTGCAATTTGTAGGAAGCGAATGAAAATACTATAATTAGATCGCCGTAATTTATCTCACTTATCAAATAAGAGGGTAATCGATGTTATTTTCTAATGAAAAAACTGAAATAAAATTTTTGGAAGAGATTATCGAAATTTAAAATTGTTTGGTGAGAAGATTAAGAGAGTACAATCGCTTATTATATAAAAGCAAAATATATAATCCATGACGATTTGGGTATGTAAACATATATCTGTTTGAACTAAATAAATTTTACACATGTATTATTAATATTGTTATGAGAAAATCTTAAAACCTATTTCATGTAATACACGTAAAAAAAAGAGAAAAAAAAATTGATGAAAAAAACAAAACCGAAACATATAATCAAGAAAAAAAAGAAAAGAAATAAACTATACTTATCAACTAATTGTTTTAATGAATTTTTAAGTAGAGGTCAACTGAAAAATATTGATATATATTGACTTTTATAATCTACTTAATAATTAAAAATATATAAATTTAAAAAGAAATAGGATTTGTATGATATATGTGGGAAAATATATATATAATTTGAGTTTTTTTAATACATGTCAAAATCTTATCGATCGGCTGAGACATGTCACGATCTCTTTAATTATGAAGTTTAACTCATCAAGCTTTGTATAATAAGATATATGGACAATCGATTATCTAATATCTACTACATTCATGCCGGAACTTAGGTAATGTTTCAGAAAACGTAAAATATATGTAGGTATATAGTTTAGAATAGCCTTAAAACATTTATG